GTGTCCACTGACTTGGTGCATCCCTTGTGCCCTGGCCCTGTAGAGCATCATTGAGAACAGATGCACAGAGCCCCAAGGCCCTGCCTCCTCTCTCTCCAGTCCTTGCTTCCACACAGTGGTTTGACCCTGGTCTCACTGCTTCAGCCCACAGAGTCCAGGTCTCTCCTCAGCAACAGACTCCAAGCCTAGCCTGGGGGCTTCAGGGCTCTATACTTATGAATCTCACACTGAAGCTACTTAGACCAGCCTGTTCTACCACAGACACCCACCTCTGTTGGGCTGGCCAGATCCCTCAGACCACATTCATCAGCCCCAGGGCTAGCTCTTCCCACTTCTACCCAGCCTTGGCTCTGATCACCTCCTGCTGGTCCATGGGGCCCCTTCCCTGGGATTCCTGGGCCTCCCTGATGAAGACATGGTCTCTCCACAGCATGGGTGGTGGTAGAGATGCTGCTGCTGGTGATGATGGCGGCAGTAAGGGGTGCTGACATTGGTGATGGGGGTAATGGTGACAAGGTTAGTGCTCGGGGTTACTTAGTGATGGGAATAATGGAGGTGGGAGGGGACAGAATGGGGACAGTCTTATATGGGTAATTAGCTGAAAGGGTGGGGTAGCAGGAATCTGGACTCTACAACCTGGTCTGAGTCTAGCTCATGAGGCCTCTGAAAAACTTGGATTTCCAGGGCCTCTCTCTCCCTAGGTCTATGGGGAGCCTAGCTCCAGTCCTATACTCTGCCTCTCCCCTTCTGCTTTTCTAGACCCCCAGCTGGGAGTCCCTCTTGGTTACCCCTTGGCTTATGAGGCAGAGCCAGACACTGTGGCCACTGCTGTCCAGGATGAAGGATACGAAATGCAGAGAGAGAGGAGGTGGGGAAGACAGCCAGGAAGACCCTATAGGCCTGATCAGTGAGGTTGAGAGCCTGGGATGCTGGGCCCAGGGTGTGAAGGACAAAAGACACAGAAAGGGACAGGAGATATGGAGGGCAGAGGCCAGGAGCTGAAGAGTGGGCTAGAGGTAAGCCTTCTCCTGGGGCCCAAGGGGCTTCCTGGGGCTTTGCTGCTATGGTGAAAGCTGCTAACCATCTGTACCCTGGACTCAATGAGGCTCTGGAGAAGGAGGGGGCTGATGGGGGCCATGCTGAGGAAGAAGTCCCCACCCCAAGTGACCTCTGAGAGCTGTACAGGTCAGGGTAGAGCCGAGCCTAGGACCTGAGGTGGCATGCAGGTGTGCCGGAGGGGTGTCCTGGAGAGGTCACTGGGCTCAGTAGTCTTTATCTGGGTCCCCAGCTGTGGCCACGGGAAGTGGCTGTTTGTGCTGCTGGTCTCCCCTCCAGGCCTGTGATAACGTTAGGGGAGCCAAGCCTATTGAGCAACACCTCAGCCTAGGCTGTGCGACCTCTGACCTCTACGCCTGGGGGCTGGGCCTGGGTACTGTGAGGGCTGCATGCAGGTTGCCATGGAAAGTAAGGTACAGGCAGCAATGAGAGGCGTCCAGGCTGCCCTCTGCTTTCAGAGAGCTTGAGCACACTGAATGCAGGACAGGGAGGTCTGTGTCCCTCTGCTGATCCCCATGCTGGGTCAGGATGCTACCTACAAGGGGCCTCAACCAGTGTGGAAAGACACATCTTTGGAGGCCCCATACACTTCTGTCCCTATATCCAAAATTTCACCTTGTGTTGAATCCCTACACTTCCAAAGGTACCTCTTCCCCTATTGCCTGGACTGCCGCTTTCCCTCATCCAATCAGAAACTTCCTATCTGGGGCTCCTCCAGCCCACAGGGTATCTTCCCCTGACTGGCATCAATTCCCATCCTTCAGGGTTCCCCGGGCCTCTATTCTGGTCCCTTATCCGCCTCAGCCCAAGCATCCATGCCCTACACACTCATAGCAGCCAAGTTTGCTGCTGGCTGAGGTGGGCTAATTAATGGCTCAAACCTGTTATCAGTGATGTACTAATTACTCTTTTTAATCAGGGCTGCTCTGGTGGAGGCTCCTAGAGGGCTAGGGGTTGAAGGATCCATCACCTCATCTTCTAGCAGTCTCCCAGCTTTCCCTGCTAGAGCCTGCACTGCTGCCCCCTCAGGAGTCCCTCCTCCCCTGGCAAACTCCCTTTCTATTCAAGACCTTACTCTTGTAGCCCCTGTGCTCCCTTGGCAGTAGGGCCACAGAGAATAGACAGGGCTGAGCTAGAGCTGGGAGGCCGTGAATGGAGCTAAGCTGGCAATGTAGAGGCTGTGTAGGCCAGGAAGCTGGGTCCAGCTCACCTTAAGCAGGATGGCATTCCACCTGGCTGAGGACCCTGGGTTTTGGTGCTTCTGGCAGCCCTACCTCCCGTCTCTCTAGGACCTGGAGAAGCTGCCCACCTAGCTTTGTGCCCTGTACATTCTAGGCCCTACCTTCCTTCACCCCACCCCCAAGGAAACTCCACAGATGCAGCCCTGAGCACACGGTGTCCAGACATGAACCCAGGTGCACATGTGTGTGGCCACAGAGGACAGAGGCTGCCCCTTTTGCCCCAGGCCCCCAGGGCTTCCCATTTACCAGCCTTTATCTATCAAAAATATATTAACCCCGAGCCTGTTTCCATCAGAGTCTCGATTCCAGGGACGTTTCCAGATAAGCCTTATCTCTATGCTGGTGCATTAGCCCCACGCTCCAGGGCCTGCCAATCACACTGCCTCCACCAGGCCTGTGGGGTGACGCTGGCCTGTGACTTCATGCCTGTGACTTTAAGCTGTGTGGGCAGGCTGACCAGAGGGTACCTCTTTTCCAAGGACATATCCCAGGTACCAGGGCAGGGGGCTTGGAATCAGCTAGTAACTTACCTATGGCACCCAGGCCCAATGTGGACAGGAAGGTTCCTGCTGTGAACTTGGTCCTCTGTAACCCTGTCTTCCCTAAAATACTGGGGCATAGGGTTGCCTGAGGGACTCAGGGTGCTGGAGCTGGGACCCTGCTTGGGCCAGTCCCAGTCAGCACTGCACATGGTTCCCTTCCCACCACTGCCCTGGCTGGGCCACCCCTTCAAAGGCTAGGTGCCCTGGCTTGACCCCATTAATGGGTGCTCAGATTTCTGCCGATGCCAAGCCTGATAGGGGCTTCCTCTGGGCTCAGCTGTGTTCTCAGGCCACACCAGGCAGACCTGCCTCACATTCACAGGGTCCTGGAGGCTTTGTGGGGTTACATGCTGGGCAGCCCCTCCCTATTCTTAGCCCTGATCTGGGCTTTCCTGTGGGGCTCCATTTCCTCTATCTGAGCCTACGTCTAGGGCTTTATGAACAGTCTTCAGGAGAGATGCTGGGGTTGTGGTCATAGAGACCCTAACCCCCATAGAGGTCCTAGGAAAGAAATGGCCAAAGTGGGGTTGTGCCAAGCCAGAGCAGGGGTTGGTGGAGTTGGCTCTGGTAGGTTTGTAGGGACTCCATCCCTCAGTGTGGATACTCTGCTAGTCTGTAGGGATGTGATGGCAGCATTGTGCTCTGCAAAGTCCTTTGCCCCAGAACTACCCTGTGAAGCAGCAGCTTCTCTTATTTTATAATGGGGACACTGAAGCATAGGTTGGGGACTTGCCCAAGGTCATATACTCCACACAGGGTAGAGCCTAGGGCTGATCTGCCTCAACTTTCAGTGACCCAGAGAGGGCTTGGTCTCATGCCCCTTGGCCAGAGAAGACATGCCCTGACTAGGGGTGGCTCCTGGCCCAACCCCAATGCTGAGCAGACTGGCCTCCTTACCCTATGAGGGTTCAACCTAGTTTACCCCCTCAGGCACGATGGGAAGCTACCAGCCCAGGCGGGCCTCTCCTGTTTCCAGGAGTAATAGTGGGCTGTGGGATTCTAGTTGGGTTGGCTGCCCTAAGCCTTGCCCAAGCCTGGGCCTTACTGACTCTGGCTGGCTGCTCTGCCCAGGCATCCAGAAGGTGGGCAGGGAGGGGAGGGAGGATGGGCTCAACCAGTGACCCTGTCTCCCAGGCATGACAGTCTTCAGGGCTAGGTGGGGTTGAACTAGAGCTTAGGACCCATCAGGAGGCAGTTACTCCAGAGGTGGCAGTGGTGGGGTTCCTTGAAGGTGGGAGTCAGTTCCACAGGGGGAGGAGCAGTTATAGCAGCCATAGCAGCTACAGTGCAAATCACCACACTCATTGCACTGTTGTCCTCTGGGTCACACCCAGGCCAGAAAATTGACAGGGTAGAGGCAAGGGCACCATGGAGTCCCACAGCTGGGAGAAGCTGGTCCCAAAACACAGCTTCTGCATGCCCTCAGTTCTGGGATGTCCTGACTATGGCTGCCTGGGTCCTGGCCAAGGATGGTGAAGGGTAGCTGCTGCCACTCTGCCCCCTGGAGGCATGAGGGGCTTGACAGGCTACCGGTGTGTTTGATTAGGGGCTGCTGCTCACAGGGACGCCGTGTTCTGTGGCTGTGCTCCTTTTCCTCTGCCCTCAGCTCTGGGGCTTAACAGCCCCAAGTCATTTGATCACAACCTACCCGTCAATATTTTTAATGCCATTTTTGCAAATTAAAGCATAATACACCGATTACCGGGATAAAGGGAGGCCTTCGAGTCCGTCTGGAGGCCAATCAGAGGAACGATGGGACATCTGTTCCCCTTACAGATGTCTGGAAAAGCTCAGAATCCCCTCATTGGTCAGCTCTCCATGCTAGGCCTAAGGGTGCCGAACTGCAGATGAGCATGGACAGGGCCCAGATGCCCTTTCCCTTTCATCCCTGAGACCAGCACATTTGGGAGTATGTGGTCCCTAAACTGGAGGGCAGGGGACTTATGGACCACTAGTATCAGGATAGAGTCCCAGGATACTAATACTGTCCAGGGGACTTCACTGGACTTAGCTGCTTAGAGAACCTTTTTCCAAGGCCCAGGACACTCCAGGAGCCACTTGGTTGGGTCTGGCAGCTCTGAGTCCTCACCCAGCCCCACCCACAGCAGGGCCCTACGATGCCTGGTATTTAATTTCCCTCACAGACAGACCACAGGTAGGCTAGGTCACATATGGGGTATTTATTTGAAGTTGTGGGTGCCCGCTACTTGGGACAGCCTGGAGACCCTGACTGGCACCTCTGGCCAAGTCCCTTTCCTAGTGAGGTCTGGCTGTTGTCCTGGGTGGGTGGATGCAGAAACAGAGTAGTAGGCCCTTCTGACATTGTCCCCTACCTCCCCAAGGCTTTTCTCATTGGGGCTAAGCAGTAGTGGGGGTGGTAATGGGATGGCACTGGCTGCCTGCAGGACTGGGGAGGTTGAGGCACATCTGGGGGTACTGGGCACTGTTGCCTGGCCTGCATCTGGGCAGGAGGCCCTGGGGGGGGGCAGTTACTCAGGGAGACTGCACCATGCGCTTCTGGGTGTCAAAGATGTATCGCTTGAAAGACAGGCTGAGTGTCACAGGCTGTGTGGGCTCTGGCCGCTCGGTACCTTCCTCCTGTTTGGCAGCCTCCCCACGGCCAGCCCGGCCCCGCTTCTTGAGTGTAGGCGTCAGAATCTTCTTGGATTCAGGGCTGAGGCCACCTGCAAGGGACAGGAGCATTACTGAATCACTTCAGGCAGAACGGCAGTTCTTGGCTCCATGCCCTCTCCTAACCCATCATCACTCTCTCCTGCCTCAGCAAAGCCTGGGGTTATTCTGCTTTCCAAATCCCTGTCATCTTGGGTCCTTCTCCCTGCCTAGTCCACCGCTGGCCAGTCACCTGGGGCACAGCCCTCTGGTGTTCTGGCTGTACTCCTGCTTCCCATGATCCTGATACTGCCTGAGCACACTCTCCTATCTGCTTGACCTGCCATCTGAGGCTCTTAGCCACCTTGGAAACACCTTCTTGTCACTTATGCTGGAGTCTGACCTTGCAGCAGGCTCTACTAGGCTCTTTTGCCTTCTGTCTCTGGGTTAGTTCAGTGTGGGGAGTTTCAGCAGACCAGAGGGGAACAGTGGGCAGCTGGCAGGCTTTCCCAGCTCTTGGCAAGATCTTTTGCTGGGTCTCTTCTGGGCTCTAGGAGATGCTGCGCCTACCACCTGTCTATAGCTGCACATCTAAGTGGAAATTTGCTCCTTGCCTGACACTGACTCACATCCGGTCCTCCATCCCCAACCACCTGTGGTCCTGAACTTGCTGGCCTGGGCCCCTTGACATACTCAAGAGCCTCTGATATGCTGTGCCCTTGCCCAGAACACCCTTCCCTCTCCCAACAGGGGAAGATGTCCCATCGTTCCTCAGTGTGAGGCTCTGCGCTGACCTAGCTGTCTTTGTTACTGTCAGTTGAACTGTATACTGTTGGCAGCTGTAGATACTACAGTGGCTAGATGGAGCCTAGTACTCTACATGTGTTATTTATTCTTGTGTTGAGAATAACAACTACTGCCTTAGGTTTCAGGTGGAATACCGGGCAAAGGCGGTATCTGTTAGTGCCTTCTGGCACCCAGGGTGTTTGTGGGGGATCTTTTATCCCCTATCACTACCTGGGGGATGGAACTCTTTGGGAAGAAAGCTCGGTGATTGATTTTAGCACCCAAGGGCTCTGTGGGCAATGGTGGCAAGGGAACCCCCAGTAGATGATGGTGGCAGGGTCACGCATCCTAGCTTTGGTTCAGGTGGCAGAAGATGTTGGTAGCCTCTTTTCCAGATGAGAAAAAAAGCCCCAAAGAGGGCAGGGCCTTGTTCCAGGTCCCCAGTGAGTTGGGAAGAGGCAAGATTGAACTCTAGGTCCTGATGGCTGTGCAGGACAGGATCAGCCTGTGTGTGGGCCTCTAAGAATGTTTCTGAAGAGGTCTGCCACCTCTCAGAGAACCCTGCTGCGCTGACCCTGAATCTTTGGACATTTAAAAGGTGGTACAAAAGCTGGATGAAAGGAATATCTGTAGTCATGAGATACCTTGCATCACTGCAAGGTCCCTCTGGCAGGCAGGCAGGCAGGAGACTGTCAGCCACCTTAAAACCAGGTTGCCCTGGGAAAGCCAGGGACTCATAACAGCTAACAGGGCTCTGGAGCCAGGCTGCCCAGTGCCCACATGCCAGAGTATATCCAGGCGAAGGTGTCCTCCTGTGGGCAGAATGTCTTCTGCGGAGCCCCCTGATCTTTAGTCCCATACCTAATGCTCTGCCTCCTCTGGGATGAGGCCTAGAGCCTGGAGTGAGAAGAGGGCCTGGGCCAATGCCAGGCCTGCAGGTATCTGAGTCCCTGAATCACAGCTGGGCCTTCTTCCTGCTGGCATCAGACCCTGACAAATGGCATGGGCCTGTTTCTCTCTGGTGCCAGAAGGTCTGATGGCTGAAGAGGTGTGAGGCTCCCAGGCGTCTGGGCCATGCTGGGGAGACAGGTGTGGCCCAATCAGCAGTCCATCTCGTCTGTGATAGCTCTTATTACGCGCTGACCCTGAATCTTTGGACATTTAAAAGGTGGTACAAAAGCTGGATGAAAGGAATATCTGTAGTCATGAGATACCTTGCATCACTGCATATGGGGCCCAGGTCCCTCTGGCAGGCAGGCAGGCAGGAGACTGTCAGCCACCTTAAAACCAGGTTGCCCTGGGAAAGCCAGGGACTCATAACAGCTAACAGGGCTCTGGAGCCAGGCTGCCCAGTGCCCACATGCCAGAGTATATCCAGGCGAAGGTGTCCTCCTGTGGGCAGAATGTCTTCTGCGGAGCCCCCTGATCTTTAGTCCCATACCTAATGCTCTGCCTCCTCTGGGATGAGGCCTAGAGCCTGGAGTGAGAAGAGGGCCTGGGCCAATGCCAGGCCTGCAGGTATCTGAGTCCCTGAATCACAGCTGGGCCTTCTTCCTGCTGGCATCAGACCCTGACAAATGGCATGGGCCTGTTTCTCTCTGGTGCCAGAAGGTCTGATGGCTGAAGAGGTGTGAGGCTCCCAGGCGTCTGGGCCATGCTGGGGAGACAGGTGTGGCCCAATCAGCAGTCCATCTCGTCTGTGATAGCTCTTATTACACACAGTGCATACTGCATCAGCCTGGAGTGGGCAGAGCCGGAAAAGTAGTCTGGCACTGGTGACACTGTGGCTATTCAACAGCTTGGTCACCTCAGCCTATCACGGGGGTCTGGGGACAATGCCAAGGGCCCATCAAGAGACCCTGGCCATGGCTACTGGGGTGAGTGGCAAATATCACAGTGTTTCTTCAGTGGCTTTCTTTTCCTTGGCTGAGGGGACCTGGGGAGTTGAAGCTATACCCAGGCTGCAAGTCTTTTTCAATGGTCCTGGACTTTCCTTTTGAAGACACTTGGCACTGCATGATCAGAAGATAGCTGGGAGCAGACGCATAGTTCATGCCAGCTCCCCTTGAGTTTCTAGCCTGGAAAGGGCTGAAATTCAACAGGTTTGCAGGCAGATAGCCCCAGATAGCTTGAGGCCCTTTAAAAAATGGTCCTATGTCCCTAGGAGGGTGGCGGTGGCTGCTTTGGAGTGCTCAATGCAGGGCTTTCTGACGAAGAATGCTAGACTTGTGGCCAGATGACAGGGACCACTACAGAGACAGCTGGCAGCCTGTACAGGCAGAGGCAATCTGTGACAAAGCCCAGCCCATTAAGTGACTATGTGCCAGGTTCTGGGGGAGCCAGGCACTGATCTGTCAATCCTGCCACTGATTTTACCACCTTCAAGTCACTGTTCAAATGTCCCCTCTCAGGCCTGAAGCTACCAGCTGCACCTAGCCTCTCTGCCCCTCACTGGCTCTAGCTCTGTCTTCTCTGATGAACTCCATAATCTTCATGTTTTGGTGTCTATTGTGCCTGCTGACTAGTCCCCAGCATAGTGGGATTTCTGTCTTCACCATAGTGACCCTCAATAGGACCTGGCTCCCCACTGTCAGTGTTGGTGGGACCCTGCTGAGGGCAAATACCCAGTCCAAGAACCCAGAGAACAAAGATTTAGAAACAGCTGGTGAGACAGTCCCTGCACAATCATAGTGGGGACCAAGAATCCACTCCCAGGGGTGCAGTTCAAACAAGCAGTTGTACCCTGTGGCCCCAGATATATACAGAGGTGCCTAATCCTACTGAGCAGGGCTGGAGGAAATGCACCCAAGGTCCATGGTGGGTAGGAGGCAGAGCTAGTGACTGAGGCAGTTTGACCCCTATCTGTGTTTGACTGGTAGAGAGTCATGTGGCTAGTGTCAGTTATAGAGGGGACCTGAGACCAACGGGAGATGAGACAGAGCCCCTTGGTGTAGCAAAGTGATACTTAGGATTAAATGATACTCAATGATCATTTAAAGAAAGACTTGTTCTGGGGCTAGGAGATAAGTTGTTTAATAAATTGCTTGCAAGCATGAGGATCTGAGTCCAGATTCCCAAAGCCCAAGTGAAAAGCTGGGAGTGGTGGTGTGCACCTGTAATTCTAGTACCAGAAAGTTGAAGACAGGATCCCTAGGAGTTGCTGGCTAGTCAGTCTAGCTGAATCTTTGAGGTTCAGGTTCAGTGAGAGACCCTGTCTCAAAAAATATGGTAGAGAGTAACAGAGGAAGACACATAAAGATGGCCTCTGGCCTTTTCATGAACATGTACAAACATGTACAGATGTATACCCTCCCCCAAGGTTGTATTCTAAACTTAGTCTAAAAAGCGCAGCAGTCAGAACTTTCAGGAGTGCCCTACCAACTCTAAGCTGAAGAAGAAGACCAGAGGTTGTGTGCCTAGAAAGGGTACAAGCAGTGCCTGTTTTCTACTGTTCTTTTCTTTTAAATTTTATTTATTATTTTTATTTTGTGTGTATGAGTGTTATGCCTGCACATAGGTAAGTGTACCCGTGTTGTGCAATGCCTGTGGAGGTCAGATGAGGCTGTCAGATCCCCTGGGACTGGAGTTAGGGACAGTTGTTAGCTGCCATGTGGGTGCTGGGATTCAAACCCGGGTCCTCTGCAAGAACAACCAGTGTTCTTAACTGCTGAGCCATCTCTCCAGTCCCTGTCTTCTTTTTTTTTTTTTTTTTTGTCTTTTTGAGACAGGGTCTCCCTGTAGCCCCAGCTGGCCTGAAACTCCCTACATAGACCAGGCTGGCCTCAAACTCACAGAGATCCGCCTGCCACTGCTTCCCAAATGCTGGGGTTAAAGGTGTGCGCCACCACGCCCGGCTCAGCCCATCTTCTACTTTTCTATGCTGGCCAAGTGCTCCCAGGGACCCTGGATTAGGCCCAGAGGGACGTCTACTATAGGTCCCACACTGTGGCCTTGTTTCCAAGAGCCCAGACAAGGGACAGTGCACAGCATGCACCCTGGCACACAGGCAGGGGAGGGAGGTTGGGGTTATCTCTGCAGCCTGGTGGGGCTCAGGGCAGCTGGGGTCAGGAAGCAGGTTGGCATTTTGAGGCCAATGGCCTAACCTCTACAGTGCTCTAGTTATGCCTGGGAAGGGTGGTACTCCTTCGTGTGTACCAAGGTCAAGGTGTCTGACATAGCTGCTTACAGTTAGAGATGGAACTGTAAGACAAAGGCTCAGGGACTGGCCCTCTCAGCCCTTCACCCTCTACCCTCTATTCTCACTGTCTCTTGTTCTACCTCACATGTA